ATGCTACGAATCGCTTCAAAGTATCAAACGTCTGATTCTTGAAATATTGTGAGATTGTCGTTTTATCAATTTCTTTCTTGATTCGATGTGTGTCGTGCAATGGCACCATCGATTTCGCACATCAGAAACCCGTTACCTAATCCAGTCTCTACGCTCTTGAGCACTCAAAAATAGGAAATATTCTCAAATAATCTTCTTTCAAATCAGTCCACAATTCAGGCTGAGCTTCAACACTATGGAGGAATTCTGCGAACTTCTCGCCCAGCCTTCAACACGGATCCCATCCATTGGTGGAGAGCGTACATGACGGAGTTTCCAATTCTTGCTAGCGCTGCTTTCAGCCGTCTTACAACTCCAGCCACTTCTGTCGATTGCCAACGAGTGCTGAGGTTAGTTCACTAATCCGATTATTTGACTTATTTTTTTTAAACGTTTTCCATTCTAGTTTGGTATCGGAGTCCCCTGGCATTAGTGATTACCATAATCAATTACGGAAAACCGATCGTTTACTGCTAATGCTAAAGGCACATCTACACAAGGACGTAAGCAGGTATGCAGTTATTTTATCCTAGTCTTTTCCAAAATTAATTTAAATGCCTTTTCTGCCATCAGAAATGCGGGTGCAGAAAATTTTATTTTACTGCGCAGTTTTCAAAAAAGCCATAGGGATTAAATTGTCTATATCACATATCTAATTACCTCGAGTCGGTGCCTCCAATGTTTATATCTTTTTGTTTTCGTTCTTAGCTCTCCAGTATTTTGATTGAATTACTTAACGTTTAGCTTATAAATGCTGTAAACAATGAAAGATCGTTAGACGAAATGCCTTTCAGAGAATGCAAAGCCTGGTCGAACTCTGAGCTACAAAATTACGGCTGTTGTGAAACATCTGCTGCTGACGATTATGACCTCGAAGAGGATCCTAACTGGTCGATGTTCAAGTCAGACGAAGAAAAGACTATAGCTGATGTAGTTGAACCGTTGCTATCGTTTGCGGAAGAAGATGATTTTGATAACATGAAAAACAGGCAATAGTTGGAGCGTTTTTTTCTTTTCCCTCTTTGGTCATTTCACGCTAAGTTTAAGAGACTATTCAGAAGCTTGTTGGGATTGTATTGTTTTAAGAGCCTAATTATCGCTTGTAATAATAATCGGTAGTGGTATTGAGCCGGATAGGCTTTTCTTAACTTACACTTCATGTG